CACGGGGGTGCGGCCCGTGCGGCAAAGGAGGCGGCGCACGGGACGCGCACCCGATGCAAAGGCGCTGGGTGGCGCTGGGGCTGGGGCTGGGGCTGTGAATGCGGATGAGCGCGCCCGCCCCTCTCTGACTGCGACGGCGCTGCACCTTGCGCTCTGGCGCCTCCGCTCGCGGAAAAGCAGCACGCGGAGGTGGACGCCTCAAAAAAACTTTTGCAGCGTTCAGAGTTCTAAAACTTCTAGACCATTTAGAGGGAGGAAAATCACGTTTTACGAAAGAACGTACGGTGTAAAATATAGTAAAATTAAAGTTACTCATCTGACATTTACCCCTGATTGTTAGGTAACTCATTGTGTTTAGTATTAACACCAAATCGTTTGGTGTTAGAATGAGCTCCTGCCAAACACCAGCGTAGGATAAATTACTAACAAATCAGGAGCAAATGTCATATTTGTAACTTCGATATTTGTGATTTCCACCACAAATTCACAGGGAAGAAGTTATCACGTTCGACTACCCACGAGCGATAGAAGTGTGTAACCTTTCTTTTAAAACACCTATATATGCATTCAAGTAACTTCCTACAAGTGATTGATTGTTCGTTGCAGAAAAACCTTTGAAGCTGGACCATTTGCGACCGAACTTTACAGGATCTCTTTTGAGCAGCCAGGATGACGGAGCGGGATCCCGAAATGTTATCCCAAATTTGGAGCCGTTCAGGGCAAAAAGGAACGGGCGGGCATAAATAAATATAGCAAATGTCAGACTACTTGAGCTGGTCCCAAATATAGTTTTTATAATTTCGTTCACAAACGATCAATGTGTCTCAACTCTGTACAAACGAATTTATATAACTCCAGTATATGTACAGAAAGTTCCCCCAAAAGGATATCTCCAAGAATTTCCAAATTAGTTATTACACTTGCCTACACAAATAAAATACATAATATAAATATGATGGTAACTACTACTGTCTCTACCTTACCAGTTATGCTGGAGATAATAGTGAGCGATATTTAATTATGAATATTATACAATGCCTTTAATGAGCCCAAAAAAGCAAAGAAGGTACGCCCACAAGGATACAGAGATAGACGAGTATCTGAGCAACCTGTTTACAATAGATTATTAACATCCCATTAAGAGTTCATTAGTTCCTATTAAGAGTTCAACAAATTCGCAAAGAATGGGGGGCACTCTAACAAAATGGTTGCAAAATGTGGAAGATGACCATCAAAATCGCGGAACTGGGCCTTGAAAGCGATGGCTACCAGAAATAGATAAAAATTGTTTCGATGGGCGGAGATGCAAAACGGCTATACAGTAGAACCACGGATATGAATAAGCAGAAGAGAAACAAAATAAGATTAGGAAATAAAGAGAATTCCAGATTTGTCGTTCCTAAGGTAGTGTGTTTCATTATTTACTTCAAATCAACAATCGAGCATTAATGCACATATATTTTGAAAAGGATAAAAGCAATATTATTTGTCTATCAATCAACCGCCTCAGACACACTGTTATGGGCATAAACTACTCTTTAATTACTTATTTTCTTCATCTAAAATTTAAATTTATTTAACTAACTTTTTCAAAACCATCGGTATTGTAAATGAGATATTATTTAGCAAGAATCTTCGTGAAGACAGGTCAAGGCACCAGTCCTGTCGTCTCAAGCGCACTTCTAGGCTTTGCAATTCGTTTTTGTAAGTGCATTAAAATAAAGAAGGCGAAAGCTTAAATTGTAAACAAAAAAAATCATCATTGTAACTGTTATCCATATTTTACATAATTCATCGAGACGATATGAAAATTTTTAACATGAATTTCTCTAGAGAAAATCGCTCCAAGATTAAAAAAAATGAATAATATTTAAACTTCTTAGAGCTTTACTGTAAATTATTATAATAGAAAAGGAGTAAAATGTACAAGGTTTATTTCTTTCTCAACTCATCATTACTGATCATTTTTGTTACTAATATTATGTGTTACTATAATAGTGAAATGGCCAGACAATTTTGTAAGTGTCAGTAGGGTCACTAATACCCCAGAGAGGTTGATGCGGCCATACTTTTAAATAAATTAAAAATGAGACCATGTTAGATATCCATACCAAATTGTCAGAAAACAGCATTAACATACAACATCAATAGCATCATCTCATCAGATAGAAAAGTTTAACGGACTGGTGGGCCGTTTGTTGCAGGTGTGGTTCCAGAACCGGCGCGCCAAGTTCCGGCGCAACGAGCGCAGCCTGCTGGCACAGCGGGCCTGTACACGCGCAGGCGGCGGCGGCCGCGCGTGGCGGCGGCGGCGGCGCCCGACGCCGCGGGGCTGGCGAGCCCCGGCGGCGGTGGGCGGCGGCGCGGGGCCGACCCCGGCGCCGAGCAGCCGCTCGCGCCCCGCCCGCCCCTCCGCCCCCGCGCCGCGCGCGCCCGCGCTGCACCTGCCGGCCGTCTCCTCGCCAGGTGAGCGCACAAGCAGGGCTGATTGAAGAAAACTCGTCACTCAGATTTACCGGCCTCAGGCTTCAGCCGAAATCACAGCAGTGCTTTGACCGGGGATTCCTAGGTTTCACTCCCGACGGTGGCAGGATTTTCGACAACAGTTACGTAGCTAGGTCGAGTTCAATCGCTGTCTGGAGGAGAATTCAAGCGGCCAGCTGCTCCGATCGGTAGTTGCTCCGTGTTTTTTCCGATGAACACCAAGCGAATGGCGAAGCAGCGCCCTAACAAACGGACCGTGGACCGCGCGCGATCTTTCTTTCCTCTTTCTTGTCTTTTCCTCGCCCCTTACTTACACACACACACACACACACACTAATATGCACTGCCTCACATGGTGGGAGACTAGCCGGGGGCTGAAAGCTTATCCCTCCTGGGGCGGTGTCACACTGATGGGAGATACCTGATTGGGGAAATTCTCCGCAATCCGATTAGTAGGCCGGTGTCTGATGTCGCCATCTAGTGGTGAAACGCCACCTCCAGAATTGACAATGATTAATGAATGAATTTCAAACTAAACTGATGTCATATGTAGTGGTGTTCTAATCAATTACGACATTGTCCATTTTATCAACGTCAACATAGTGGTTTCTCCGATCCAAACCAGACGAAAGCCCAAGTAGCACACTAAGAAACGGACCGCGGACCGCGTGCAATCTTTCCTTCCTCTTTCTTGTCTTTCCTCACCCTTTACTTACACACACTTACACTAATATGCACTACATTGCCACACATGTCGGGAGACCAGCCGGGGGGTTTAGAGCTTATCCCTGCTGGGGCGGTGCTACGCTGTTGGGAGATACCCGATTGGGAAAATTCCCCGCAAGCTGATGAGTAGGCCGATGTCAGATCTTGCCATCTAGTGGTGAAAGATCACCGCCATCTCCAGAATTGACAATGATTAACGAATGAATTTCAAACTAAAACGATGTCATACGTAGTGCTGCTCTAAGCAATGCACACACTGTCCATTTTATTAATGTCAACATTAGCATTATTAAAGCATATTTCGTAATCGATCGCCAGTGTGTTATTGTGTCCCCTGTCAATGTTCATCAAAGAGATTCAACATCCTACAAATAATTAGTACTGCTGATCTCTGTAGAAAACAAAAGTTGCCACTGAGCTTTCGCACAAAAAACCTTTAATTGGCAGCTATGACTGCTCTACAATTATTGGCAGCCGTCGGGTAATTTCGCCTTCCGATGTTTAACGTAACGTCGTCTCGCTTTCCGGAGTACAACTGCGCCATTTGCATAAAGCGGCAGCAGTTGGCAGTTGCATTTCGCGAATTCCCCGAGTCGGAAGGGCACGCTTCCCCACGACGCTCAAGTCGGGTCCTGCTCTCTAGTATTTTTACGATTACTAAGCGTTCTCCCTTCTTTACACTTAAATGCTATTCTCAACTTGCACTTTCGTGAATTAGGATAATTGCCATTATTATCTGCATAATTTATGCATGGACAAAAGCCATACCGACCATCAAAATTATAAATAGTTTAACTATGCGCTACCTATTACATTTCACAAACGTTAACCTGTAATGTCGGCAAAACCATCAAGCAAATTGATGTAGATGTAATAGAATACCTAAAATCTTCAGAACAATGCAAATTATTTCTGGCTTTGAAGACCAATCGATATTGATTGACAATTTAAATTTCGACAGTCGCGATTGGCAAACTCGAATCACATACAAAATCTGATGCGTTATCGATCTTGACCATCGGTTGTGTTGCAGGGCCAGTGCAAGGCGAGTACCACCCGGGCGCCATGGCCATGGGCTACCCGCCGCCGCACGCGCCGTCGCACGCCCACGCGCACGCGCACGCCCACGCGCACGCCGAGGCCGCGTGGAAAGGAGTGTGCGCCGTGGCGTCGCCGCCGCAGCAGCTGCAGCTGCAGCAGCTGCCCCAGCTGCCGCCGGCGCTGCTGCCGCCGTCGTCGCCCGCGCTGGGCGCCGCGGCCGCCGCCTGCGCCTTCATGGCGCACCCCTCGGGTGAGCACCTACAGGGCTTTAGCTAGTTCCAACACGAGATTTATGCGATTTTTCGTAACCTGGACCCGACAAAAATAGTTATTTTTCTGTCGAAAATTCGGCGCACCATTAGAATACTTTCCTTCCTTACTTTCGTAAGGGCGAGAAAGTAGCAGCAAAAGCCGGTCCGGATGGCCGTTATCGCTGAGGCAGTAGAGCCGTCGCGATCTCGAACCGAAGGATCGCGGGTTCGAGTCCCGCCTCGGGCATGGTTGTATTGTGTTCGTCCTTTCACATCCTATCATCATTATATCGAGTCATCCTCATAGTTACCATACCGTTACACGCAATAGAGGTCGCTAATGACCTAGTAGTTGACGCAACCTTAAATAACAAATAAAGTATCTAAAGTTTTAGATATTTTGTCCCTCATTATATATAACATGCTTAAGCGCCAGAGATGTCATTATTTTTAAAAGAACTTTATGTTCCCTCACTCAGTATATTTACAAAGTAAAAAAAAATATTTTATCGAACGATTAAATAATATTAGAAGATGCACTCGAGCTCTTGAAGTTTTCTAACGAACTTTTTGATTTTTCATATAAACAAATTCTGTATGGGTAATCGTGGGAATGCGAATTAAAAGATATTTCCTAGTACTCCAAATGTGTTCCTTTCCTGTGTTCTAGAAGTAAATAATGTGTGTATACGAGAAAATCTACACTTTCGAAGGCTGTACGTTGATACTCAAAACGTCGTAAGCCGTTCATCCACAATGTTGGGTCGCCTAATTTTGACAGCCCTTAAAAAAAACATTTACGTGTAAAAATGTTCGATGGAAATCTTTAAATGACATGTTAATGGATACATTTAACCACATTATCTCAAAAATTACGCTTCAGGAAAGAGAAAAATGTTAGAAAGTTTCCGTTATAATCCATTCTGAAAATAAATTGATTGCATAATACGGAACAATCCCTTTATTGTAGCTGAAGCACACAAATTTCGGAGTAAGCATGTTTAGCAATGCCTTAATCTAATAGTATTGTATACGTAACTAATTTATGAGTTTAATAACCAATAACGTCTCATAGACGCTTATGTAACACGAGGTAGTAAATCGAATCGCTAACTAGTGCTGCCACCAGAGTGGTAATCAACGTAAGTAGTCATAGTCTATTTACAGAATCGTTTTGTGTCAACTGCATAAATAAAAACATCTGATTTGTTCTTCCGTCAACAGAAGAAAAAATATTGAATTGCCTACACCAGCAATTCTAAGTTTAATTAAAAATTACCACTTTAATTTTTTTTAACTTTGATATTAGACACGAAGGGACATATCGTGGTAAAAAAATTGTAAAACTATTGTTTGCTACTGACTCGATTTTGATAGTCCAAATTATTCAAAAACTTTGTTCGATTTCATTCATACATCACAGACAGACAGGAGATTAGAGAATTAAAGTATTCGGTGGAAAACTGACGATGGATGCTCTCAATCAGTCTTTTAAACTACTTCACTTCTATTATTATTATTATTATTATTATTATTATTATTATTATTATTATTATTATTATTATCATTGTTTCTATTTTTCACACTTTCTCTGCTTTAGCAGGGAAAACTTTCACCTGTCCAACTGATATCATAGGACTATGCTCGGAAGAAAATTCATCCTGACCTACATGATAGTTAGGAATTTAAGAATTTTGCTGGAATGTTTGAGGAAGGGTGGCTTTCTGAGCTTAATCAAAGATATTTTTGATATCGACATTCTCCAGATTTCTTCAGGGGAAGTAGGAGACCTCGTGCAACTTCTTAATGTTTTTTTAATTCAATTGCCAAGTTCTCATATTTTCTTAATTTTTCCATTTCGGACTTCTGCAAGTTGTAAGTCAAAGGGATTGCAACATCCATTACAGAATATATTTTATTTTCTTTGTTATGAGGATGTCAGGGCAATTATGATCAACTGTTTTATTCGTCATAATAGGACGATCCCAGTAAAAGACGTGCGTTTTCGTCTCGACCATAGCATCCGGGTTTTACTTGTAGTATGCTGGACAAATATTCCCCAAAATTCCAAGTTTCATTCCTAGTTCTCGGTGAATAAGTTTTGCCACTTGGTTATGCCTGCCTAAAATTCTCTGACAAAGTTGTACACCCAGCTATTATGCGCTCAAAAGACTCTCCGTTGTTCCCACTTCTTCCAGATTTGTCGATCTCACATGTTTTTAAAATATGTTTTTCATAGTTTTTATTTATTACTCTACCTAGTTCTTCTTCTTGATATTATTATTATTATTATTATTATTATTATTATTATTATTATTATTATTATTATTATTATTATTATTATTATTTACATAACTCAATCCACATCTCTTGAATGGATGATACTCAACTGGATCGTGGTTCTACCCAAGGGCCTAGAATATCAGAAGTACTAGTCGTAAGCATGAAAGCGCTTTTTTTTCTTTTACATAAATGAATATAACTTAATTCATGATGCATATTAAAATGAATTAATATTAAAAAATGTAGTTTCTGTCGTTTACACGAAAATTTTGATTTTTCATTTTGCTGGTATTAGAATGACTTTGTCACTTTCTAGAATCGATTTACAATATTGCGAAAGTTCGTTCCAATCCTTCATGATCCGCAATTTACATGATGATCAGTCAAAACACACCGACCACTTCTAAATTTCAATAATTTTCTCCAGTTTTCATTCCGCATGTCCCCGTTATCATGTGAAGGAAGTCGGAAGCTGCCAGTAGTTCAGTGCTCCTGCCTGACCTTGTCTACATTTTACGGCGTGCGGATTGCCTGCGGGTGTAATCGTTGGTGCGCGGGCACATCGAACATCGCTGTTCTAATGTGTGTTTGTGTGTTGACAGGCCTGGGGGCGCACTACGGCGGCGCGCAGCACCCTCCGCCCTACGGCCACCACGTGACCTCGTCGATCGCCAGCCTGCGCTTCCGCGCGCACGAGTACAGCGCGGGCTGCGGCCAGCTCTAGCCTGCTCGCCGCCCGCCCCTGCGCACAGCCTCTCGACACCCTGCCCTCCAATAAACTATTTAAGCAAACGCTCTCCACGTGTTTCATTGCACCTGCATTCAACCCGTTCCATGTCCTTCCGTCTTACAATGACGCCATGCAGGAAGGCACACATTTAACCTTAGAAAGCATGAATCTGGGAATCTACAGGAATGCAAACGCAGGTGAACAAAAATGCACATAAAATATCTTCATTTCTTAATAATTTCAATAAAAGTCAACACTTAATGTTAAACAAATTATTTATTAAAATAACTATTAACAAAACCTTAAAAGCTCTATATATTGACGTAATAGAATCAAATTTCAAGACCTACCTATATAACTTCTGAGATTGTTTTCCTTTGCAACTGACTTAACAAAAAGTAGAAATATAGAATAAAGTTTGCAGGGAGGGCAAGTACTGAGAAACATGGCTGTGCAGAGTGAAGAGCAAAATACAAATCGTTAGGGCCTCGGAGACCCTGCAGACGCAGCCTAGAGTTAAATATGGAGCTCAGGACGCCAAGTTAGAGGGGAAAGGAGAGTAGCAATATGTGGCGTCAAAGAACTGGTGCAAAACAACTTGATGTGTAATTTAATCCATAAAACTGATCGTGTGTTGACACACGTTTGCCTCAACACCCTATGCAACTCACACTGAAGTAGCTGGCGCAACAGAAAAAGGCAGAGATTGCCTTTTAATTTTGGTCTGAGGACGGAGAATCTGCACACGCGCTTTTGGAAGGAAAAAATAACTTTTTGAAAAACCGATAGACGAGATGCACAATAATTGAAAAACCCGAGGGCAACAGTGGCCTAACTGTCATCTCATGTTCATGGGAGTTAGGCCACTGTTGCGCTCGTTGCCTCAATTAGAGCAAATTCTCTTTTTCATAGTATGTTCATTTTCCTGATATTTTACTCTTAGCTTAGCGTTTCATTCTGAATCACAGTCGCTTGACGGATATTAGTTGTCCATTAGGACGTTTGGCAGCATGAATGACCGAATAATGGCATACATTTTTGCCTCTTCAAAATATCTCCATAACAATGGCATGCAATAGCATTTAGTGTACGACCGATACGATTATAACACCACGACATATTTAGTGTAAGACCGTATTAACAAAGGGATTTAAATCCTTGTCTAATACAACTTTAACCGTCATTA